GACCCCAGCAGCCAGGAGGGGGCTGGTGTCCCCCAGCACCTCCTGAGCCAAGGGCCACATCCAGCCCTGCACCAGGAAACCAGCCCAACCCTCCTCCCCAGACCAGTCCATCCTTCCTCCCCATCCCATCCCATCCCATCCCATCCCATCCCAGTCCTTACATCCTCCAGCAGTTTGCCCTCCACACGCAGCTCCCAGGAGGCCACACGTTCCCCACCTTCTCCTTCTTCTTTGGCTGGGGTGAAAGTGTTGGAGATGTAAATCCTCAGCTTCCTCTTTTGCTGTGGAACAGGGGAACAGAGAAGGGGATGCTTGGAGGGAGGTGGTTGGAGATGGCAGCACCCACCCCAAAACCCAGCCAGGAAGGCCAATGCCATCCTGGGGGCATCAGGAAGAGTGTGGGCAGCAGGTCAGCGAGGTTCTCCTGCCCCTCTGCTCTGCCCTGGGGAGGCCCCATCTGGAGAACTGATGGGGACTCCCCCCCTGCCCTGGGCAGCCTGGGCCAGGCCCTGACAACCCTTGCCAGGGAGAAACTGTTCCCAAGGTCCAACCTCAGCCTCCCCTGGCACAACCTGAGGCCGGTTCCTCTGCTCCCTCACTCCAACCTCCCTTCTTGCCACAGAGGAGCCCCCAAAGCACCATGTAAATAATGTTTTTAAGGAGGGGACCATGAGGTGCTGCTGCAAGGGAAGGCCATGACATGACTTGGACTAGGGAGGTGGGGGAGTCTCCATCCCTGGAGACATTCCCAGCCCTCCTGGACGTGTTCCTGTGGGATCTGCTCTGGGGGATCCTGCTCTGGCAGGGCTCAGATGGGTGATCTCCAGGGGTCCCTTCCCACCCCAACAAGGCTGTGACTCTGCCTCTGAGCCCCCCCAGGTCCTCCACACACCGTCAGGGGTTTCTTGATGGCCTCCTGAATCTCCATCCTCTTCCGAGCGATGGTTTGGTCCAACTTGCGCTCGAAGGCCAGAAGGTCCATGTAGGCCTGGGATTCTGGGACCAGTTCCCGGATCTGGCCGATGGAAAGAGTCAGAACTTGGTGTGCTGGGATGGGGCTGCTCCCCCCACACCATCCCCAGCTGCTGGGATGACACACCAAGGAGTCACCAAGGGACAATTTCTCCCGCCAGCGCCCGTCTGTCATGGCAGAGGTGACAGCTCTGCAGGGCTGTCCCCAGAGCTGTGCTGGGTCTGGAACCTGTCACTGCAACCAGCACCCTGCCCAGTCCTGCCACCCTGGATTGTCCCAAGGGACCCCCAGGAGAGGCTGAGGTTCCTCCTGAGGTCTCCAGCCCAAGACACAGATCTCCTTGCTTGCTCTGAGTCCTGCTTGTCTCATTTACACCCACCCCTCATCTCTCCCACCACCCCAGAAATCTTCCAGGTGGGTTTGGGACCCAGCAGAGGTGACCAGCAGGCAGGATGTGGCCCTGCAAGATCCTCCTCCCTGCAGGGACCTCCTCACCCCTGAGAGAGACCCCAGCAGCTGAGCTGTGTCCCCAGCCCCTGGGGCAGCACTCACCCTCTGGGGCAGGACCTTGTCTGCCATCTTCCTCCTCTTCACCCTGCCAAAAGCACAGAAACAGGCAAAAATATGACCAAAAAAATGACATGGCAGCTGGTGGGACACCTGGTTGGGGAGCTGCTGCATGTCCCATGCTGGGGCAGCCATGAGTCTCTGGGGACAATACCAGGATCTGCTTGGAACCTGGAGGCTCTTTTGGATCCATCCAGGCCAGGAATGGGAGGGGACCTGGAGTGGCAGTGCCAGGCACGTGCCAGGAGGGTGGCTGCAGGGAATGGGTCTGGGGGAGCAGGTCCCCTCTTGGGGCCAGTTGGTGTGACAGGGTCTTCACACTTGCAGGAGGGCAGCAAAGAAAGGCTGCAGGAGCACTGGGAGCACCAGTCCTTGGATTGGTGGTGGGAAGAAAACAAGGAGGAGCTTCTACCCCTGTGGACAAAGCCAAGGTGACTCCAAGGAGAAGGTGCTGGGACATCTAGAGCCTCTGGCCAGGGAAGGAAATCCAGGCCCTGGGTTTGGTTTGTGCTTTGCTGCTGCCATTGCTGAAGGTGCTACAGGGCAGGAGCAAGAAGGTGGAACAAGGCCAACCTGGGGCTGCAGGAGTGTTCCTGGCTGCAGGAGTGTTCCTGGCTGCAGGAGTGTTCCTGAGCTGTCCCAGGGCTACAAACCCAAGCCCAGTTCCAAGAGCTCACTTCAAAGCAGCTTAAAACAACCCAGCCTTGCTATGGTGGGGCTGAAATCATGGGGGGCAGAGGAAGCAGCACAGGCTCTAGAGCCCCCAGCCTTGCCCAGAGACATCTCAGCTCCCTCGAAGCTTGTAGAATCTCATCAGAGCACAGGGCCTGGGCTCCCCTCCCCACACTGCTGGCTCCACCAGTGGGCCTGAGCCCACCCTGACCCCCCCGTGAAATTCACCCTGGGGCACAGGGAAATGCTCTCCTCCCATTCTGCTGCCCATGGAGGAGGAGATCAGAGTCCAGCAGGGACAGGAAGCCCCTTTCCCTTGGCAGCAAAGGCAGGAGCTGCTGCTGCCATCACGAGGTGTCCAAGGTCCAGCTGCCCCGTGGCTGCTGGCACAGGAGGACACAACAGGGGGGGTCAGGGCACCTTTCTGAGCTCTTATCACAATAATTTCTTCCTCCCTGCAGGGTCTGGCCACCCCCCTGGCAGCTGCCAGGTCCTGATCCCCTGATCTGCAGCCAGATGGGAGTGAGGACGTGGGACCAGCCCAGCCTGGCTGATCCTGGGCTGCTGGGAATGGGGCTGAGCCTTTATCTGATGCTGAGCTCCCTGCTGGGACGAGCTGTCCCTTGTCCTTAATCCCCAGCTGGCTCTGAGGCACCACAGGGACGTGCAGCCACCAGGAGGTGGGATCAGGGAGCCAACCAAGCTGCCAGCTCTGCCCCACAGCCAGGGCAGGGAATGGGACCTGAGTATCCCTTAGGACCAAGGGGCCCTTGTCCTGAGGAAAAGCCTCCAGGAATCCAGAAGCCCTTGTGGAAAAGGGAGCAGAGGGATGAGCTGTAAACAAGCAAGGAGCTGCTGGCAGAGCCCCACCTGCTGAGACCAGCCCCAACAAAAAGTCCTCAGGGGAGTCTCTGCAGCCTGCCCACCCCTTGCCCCATTTCCAGCCATGGCTATGCCTGCCTGAGCCAACAGAAACCCCCAGGAGAGAGGGATGGACTGGAGGAGCTGGTGCTGGGGCTTCTGGCTCACACAAAGGCACAGTGAGGCTGCTGGGCTGGAGACCAGAGTACAGGGAAGCTGTGAGCTCAGCCATCTCTGCACAACACCCTGGCCCTGGGCACTGGCAGGGCTCCCACTGCCAGCAGTGCCAGCTAGGGGGGCTGCAGGAGACCCTAAGTGTTCCCAGCTCTGCAGGCAGCTCATCCCTCTGCAGCAGGGCAGGGAGCAACTGGCCCAGGGAAGCTGTGGCTGCCCCATCCCTGGCAGTGTTGAAGGGCAGGTTGGATGGGGCTTGGAGCAGCCTGGGCTGCTGGGAGGTGTCCCTGCCCATGCAGGGGGTGGGACTGGATGATCTTTGAGGTCCCTTCCCACCCAAACCAGTCTGGGCTTCAGTGACCCAGTGGATCAGAGCAGCCCCCTCCTCCCTGCCAGGGGTGCCCATGCCCAGCCCTTACCCTCTCCTCTGGGTGGCCAGGGGTGGCTGTGCCTGGGGGGTCAGCAGGCGCTTCCTGAAGGGATCCATCATGGACTGTGGCAGCCCAGGCCTCATTGGGGAGGCTGCTCCATAGGGGGGAGCTCCCTGTGGTCCCACCTGCAGCCCTGCCATGGGCATCCTGCTGCCAGGAGGCATCCCAGGGCGCTGGGGAGGAAGAGGAGAGAGGAAGAGTGTGTGTGAGACGCTGCCTGTGAGGGGTCCTGCCCCTCACTGCAGACCAGCAGGCACCAGCAGCCCCTCCTGCTTCTTCCCTGGGGAGATTCCTGAGGCTGTAGCCTGCTCTGAGGGCTAGGAGAAGGACAGGGCAAGGAGAAAGGAGGGACATGGGGAGCTGGAGCCTTCCTCACTGCAGGAAGTGATGGGGAAGGAGGAGAGGGAGGAGCAGAAGGCACAGAGGCAGGGGGAGCCAGCCCTGCCCAGCCCTGAGCCAGCAGCACATGGCAGGAGCCAGTGAGCAGGTCCCCTCCTGAGGGTCACTGAGCCACCAGCCTGGGGACACCAGGGGCTCCTCCCTGGCATGGCAGGTGTGAGGGGCAGGAGGGGAGCAGGGCTGCCCCACTTCCCCAAGGTCACCAGGCAGGCAGGAGGGAACCCCCCAGCTCCTGGGAGCAGGGGAGGCAGGCAAAGCTCAGCCCTGCCAGCACAGCCCCTCCCAACACCCTCCCTCCCCCTCCAGCAACATTCCCGAACCACAACATGATCCCCAACCCCTCCTGCAAGGGGGTCCCGACCCAGGGCAGCCCCTCTGCACCCCCAGAGGCAGAGCACTTGGCACAGCAGTACCCACACCTCTGGCTCCAGGTGCCACCAGCTCCCTGGGGATCCCTGCCAACCAAGTCACAGCAACCCAGGACCCTCCAACCATCCCACCCTGCTTCACTGGTGGGCTGAGCCAACAGCCTCCTGGGATCCTTTGATCCTCAAGCTCCCAGCTGCCAAGACCAGAGGCTGGGAGAGCAGCCAAGCCAGCAGAGCAGCATTTCTGTCCTGCCACAGGCTCCTCGACATGCCAGAACAACCCCCCACAGCTCCTCTCCTGCTGCCCTGAGCACAGGGACACACACACAGCTGCACCCCAGGAGCTAACAAAGCTGCCTCGTTATCCCACAGCAGCCCCAGCTTGATGAGCTTATTTGCATCCAGGCATTAATTTCAGGGCAAAAGCCCAGGGCTGGGAGCATGAGGCCACCCCTGCAGCCTGGCTTGGCTGCTGCAGCTTTGTGGGCAGCTCAGATCTGCTGCAGGGGGTTGGTTTGGTGGCAGCTGGAGCCCAAACTCCGTCAGTTCCTTCTCAAAAAAAAGCTGCTCAACTCAAAACCCAAGAGCTCCAGCAGGTCGTGGGCCAGAGCCTGAGGCCACAGTTGGGTCTGCAAGTGGGAGATCCCCAGAACACACCCTCAGGAGGAGCACTGCAGGCAGGCCAAGCTGCAGCAGGACACGTGGGAGGTCACAGACACTCAGAAAGCTCAGGCAGAGCCTGTTACACAACCCAGTGGTGCTTCCACCTCTGCTCGGCCTCCCTTTGAAGCTGCACTTGCAGAGCCTGGGCTCCCTGACCTGCTCTTGCTCCAGGAGCCTGGTCCTGCCTCCCAGATGTTTCTCTCCTTGTGAGCAGCCACCTCTGGGCAGCTCCTGGTGACACGTGAGACTGCACAGGCATCAGCCATGGTCACCAGCACCTCCTCCCAAAAATCACAAGGCAAGGACCCAGTTTATCTGGGTTTATCAAGAAATCCTCCATGGGAGGGCACCAAGATCCAAGACTGGCAATGGTCTGAAGCTTCAAGAGGAGAGATTCAGGTTGGAGATTAGGAAAAAGGTCTTCCCTGTGAGGGTGGTGAGAGCCTGGCCCAGGTTGCCCAGGGAAGCTGTGGCTGCCCCATCCCTGGCAGTGTTGAAGGGCAGGTTGGATGGGGCTTGGAGCAACCTGGACTGGATGGTGGGAGGTGTCCCTGCCCACGCAGGGGGTGGGACTGGATGATCTTTGAGGTCCCTTCCAACCCAAACCATCCCATGATTCTATGATCCACATCTTTTGCCAAATGAAAATCCCCAGGTAAATACTGTTTGCCAGAGCAGGGTGGCTCCAGGAACTGTGCTGAGTCACCAGTGAGGGCTTCTGAGGAACAGGTCAGCCATGAGAAGCTGGGAAACCTTTCATCAGGACCTGGGGAGCCCCAAGAAGAGCTTTGCAGGGCCCCTGCAGCTCCCCAGAGCCAACAGGGGGATGGAGAAGAGGGATGGTTTTCAAGGAAAACCCTGCCCCCAGGTGTTTCTCAAGCCCATATGGGAGAGACAGTGATGAGTTCCATGGAGAAACTGGTCTGAGAGGTTCCCTAGAGGACAATGTCCAATACAACCCCTCCCCTACCCAGCCACAACTAACAACTTCTAACAACTTGCTAACAACTTCTTGGACACAGCCATGATCAGCTCCCATCTTGCATCTCTCACCACCACCACGGCCAGAGGTCTCTTCCTACCTCCCTCTGCCACCCCATGGTTCACATTTCTGATCTACCCCTGAAATGAGAAGATTTGGAGGCTGCCTGAGATGGCTGAGAGGATCTTTGACAGCTCCACGTGAGCAACAGCACCTTGTCCAAGGTCTCCCACGTGTCCATCTGCTCTTCAGAGGGCCAGAAGCTGCTTGGTTACATTAGGAGACATTGCTGGGAGCAGGGAGAGAATCAGGGCAAGGATGAAAGCATCTGTCATGCTTAGAATGTCACCTCCACAACCATCTGAGAACCATCAGCCCCAGCTAAGCTGCAGGGGAGTGAGCTCCTGCCCACCAGGGTTAGTTTAACCACTTGGACAAGCCAAAAAAAAAGGAAAGGCAGAATTCTCCAACTCTCCACGTGGATGGGGGGTTTTTACCCCTCTCAGTTCACCCATAAGATCTACAAAGTGATACCAGGAGAAGCTTCTTGGCAAAGCTGGGCCAGAGGCCAGAGCAGAACTGCACCCCTGCCTTCAAATGCCCAGCTCAGCCCCAGGGGAGTGGAGCCTCCCAGGCACCCCTTGGAAGGCCTGGAAATCAGCAGGATGCAACAGGACTGCAATTCAGGAGATGTTCTTAGACTGGTAAAAACCAAGGAGAGTTTCCTCAGCTCCTCCCTGAGCTCAACACGAGCTGGCAATGAGCCACTTGTGTCCTGGGCTGTCACCAGCAGTGCCAGGGAGGGGATTGTTCCCTCTGCTCTGCTCTGGTGAGACCCCCCCTGTAGGGCTGGGTCTGGTTCTGGAGCCCCCAGTGCAGGAAGGATGTGGAGCTGTTGGAGAGAGGCCAGAGGAGCCACAGAGATACTGGGAGGGCTGGAGCAGCTCTGGAGCCAGGCTGGGAGAGTTAGGGTGTTCAGCCTGGAGAAGAGACGGCTCCAGGGAGTCCTTAGAGCAGCTTTCAGTGCCTGAAGGGGCTCCAGGAAAGCTGGGGAGGGACTTGGGACAAGGGCAGGGAGGGATGGGTCAGACATGAGGAGGAAATTCTTCCCTGTGAGGGGGGTGAGACCTGGTCCCAGGTTGCCCAGGGAAGCTGTGGCTGCCCCCTCCCTGGCAGTGTTGAAGGGCAGGGTGGATGGGGCTTGGAGCAGCCTGGGCTGGTGGGAGGTGTCCCTGCCCATGCAGGGGTGGGACTGGATGATCTTTGAGATGATCCTTGCAAACCCATGATTCTCTCATTCCTGGCCAACACGAACCCCCAGCCCTCCACCCATCTTCACCCCAGGCAGAACTGCTGTCCCTTCCTCTCGGGGTCCTGCCTTGTCCACCCATCCCTGCCAATGGGTTGGACAAAGGACAAACCTCCCAGGCTCAGCTCTGAGGAACAAGCTGGACCTTGTCCAGCCATCCCCGTGGAGTCGTTTGGCCAGGGGACAGAACCCAGCTTGTTTCTGCTCCCTGCCAAGGCCCAGGGAAGGGCTGAACATTCCTGGTTCATCCCAGGTCACCACGCAGGCCCCTTGTGTTCGGGGAGCTCTGGTGAGAAGCAGCTTCAGCTGGATCCAAGGGGAGGCTGGAAGGCTTCCCAATGGATGGATGTTCCTTGGCATGACAGGAGCCTCCCTGCCTGCCAAGGGCCCCTTCTTGAGGAAGGCCAGGCCAGGAATCAGAGGCTGGGGGAAGAAAGGAGGGACAAGGGGAGCAATAAATCGCAGGCAGGACCTGCTGGGTTGGAGAGAGAGCTTGAGGAAAAGCAGGACTTCAGAAACCAACTCCAGAGCTGCTTCATCTTCCTTCCAAGACCACAGCTCTTCCCTGCAGCTCCTCAAGCAGGGGGGAAAGCTCTTCCCAACAACACGTGCCCTTCTGCTCTCTCCAGAAAGGAATGATCCCACTTTGTACAGAGGAACAGCCAAGGAGCCAGAGCTCACATGCACCCTCCTGGCCTGGGGCGGTGGGAGCAGAGCCCTGGACACAGGCCAGGGAACCACGGGCTCTTCCACAAGCTCCTCCCCACCAGCCCGGGTGGCAGCTCTTCCCATCAGGACAGATCCAAAAGCAAACCCTGTTCCCATGGGATTTGGAGCTCCAGGCCAGGCTGGTCTCAAGGAAAGCTCAGCTGACTAAAAGCCACCACTCAACCCAGGGCTTCACGTGGAAGGGGATCAACCACACCCACCCCAAAAAGGTGCTTTTCCCTTCTTTGTTCCTTTGTCTTCAAGGGCCTGGAACACCTGCCTGGTGAGGAAAGGCTGAGAGACCTGGGGCTGTTCAGTCTATTGAGGAGAAGACTGAGGGGGGATCTAATGAATGTCTATAAATACATGAGGGCATCAAGAAGGCAGGACAAGCTCCTGTCACTTGTGCCCTGGGATTCCAACTGGAGCCCAGGAAGTTCCACCTCAACATGACGAAGAACTTCTTCCCTGTGAGGGTGACAGAGCCCTGGGCCAGGCTGCCCAAAGAGGCTGTGTAGTCTCCTTCTCTGGAGACATTCCAGACCTGTCTGGATGCCTGTCTGAGTGACCTGCCCTAGTTTGGGTCCTGCTCTGGCAGGGGGCTTGGACTTGATGATCTTTGGAGGTTCCTTCCAACCCCTGACATCCTGTGATCCTATCTCTGAGAGCAAATCCCTCTTGGGAGGGCATCAGGAAGAGCCTGGGTTGGTGCTGGCAGAGATCTCCATCCAGGAGGGGATGTTGTTGCCCAGACAC